ACTAAGGGAAACGGGCACCATGTTACACGCCAGCAGAGGCCGTGCCAGTTCCAGCCGTTCTTTGGGGCCATGTTCTGGAAGCGAGAAAAATCCAGTTCCATCAAGAGCAAATGAGGGAAGGGAGGAGGTCTGACCATCTGCAGAGCACAGTCAGACCGGAAACTGTGGATGCCCCCCACAAACCCCAACACTACCCTCAAGCAAAAGGATGATAGGAGATAGAGTCTTCCACATAAGAGGGGAGCTGGGTTGGGGAAGCTCGTTTCGGGCCATTAACGGTGGGCTTGAAAGGTGTCGGCGCAAGCCCCTCAGCCTGTCCCGTGAATCGGAGCGTTCCTGGCACGAGACGGTGTGCACAGCTTCCTGCCCCGAGGCACGAGTTGTTCAAGTATGGAGCAAATGAAAATGATGAAGGGCACGATCCTCTGGATCCGAGACGGGAAAAGGTTCCCCGCTGGCCAAGTCCTGCAAGGCAGGCTGGCCTTTTCGCTGTCGAAAGATGCCTGGGGTCATTCTTAAGCAGCCCTTTCATGGTGGCGATGATCCACTTCAAAGCTGAGAAAGATGTCTGAGACAGAGGATTGCATAACCAGCCTTGGAGTCTTTGCAGGAAGACAGTGGGACATAAATGTAATACATAAATACAAAACTGACGCCTGCCAAAAATAGGCTGACGATCATGTCCACGGTCACATCAAGTCTGGCCTGCCATTCAGCTGTTTGAAGGTCCGCCCCGAGATCTAGCAGATTAAATCAGCCAGGACGAAACCGCAGCGAAAGGCAGTGCAGACGAGGCAGCCTCCACCGCGCGTCCCCCAGGACGGGCCGGAAGTCGCCTCCCACAGCCTGGGCTGCAGCTTTCTGGCCACCTGCCCTTGCTGGCGAGGGCCGGGCAGGTTTGCCCGGGTGCGATGCTCTGCCAGGCCCTCCGGGAGGAAGAGTCAACGCCCGCCACCCCCTTTCCTCAAGCCCTTCTGTGCCTGCCCACATCCCCCCCCCCCGGTTCGCCCTCCTGGCCACGCTCGGAGCATTGGGTGGGATGCCAGCAAAGAGTTTGACAGGGAGGAAGAGGGGGCCGTGGCGTGTCAGGAGCCCTCGGGGGCGGAAGCGGGTAGAGGAAGGTCATGTCCAGCCAGAGATGGCCTGTCAGGATGGAGAGCGCTACCCATCAGCAGCTCGCCACTTCCCAAGAAGGGTGGCGAAGGCTGTCATTCCGCTTCACCATCAGTTCACCCCGATGCCTGTGGAGGGTGGAAAGAGAGAGCCGCGTGCGTCCAGGGCCACGACCTGGCCACCCTCCCCTCCCCTCGCCTCGCCTCTCGCTCAGGAAATGCCTCGCGTGGTTCTCCCTGCTCAGGAGGGCTGGTGCGGCTCATCCCAAATTGCTTCATTGTATTTTTGTCTGGCACTTCTATACTCAACTTGACACCGTGAAATACAGCAATGCGAATAATGTAGTGAACGTGGTATAAAAAAGGTAAGTCTCAAAGAGAAAAAGACAAAGTATTTATCTCAAGATAAACCTCAACAACAAAGATCTAAAAACATATTGCTATTATTATTTTTTTAAGTGCAGGACTAAAAAAAGCCTAGGAAGAACCTCTCCAGGGAGAGTGTTCCACAATGGGGGCCACCACCGAAAGGGCCCTCCTGAGCTGCCATCCTCCTTGCCTCATTAGACAGGGGCACCTGGGTCTCTGACGGGGATCTGAGGGTCTGGACAGGAACATATGGAAGGGAGGAGTCCTCCAGGTAACCGGGCATCCTTCCCTCTTGTCGGGGTCCTTTGGGGCCCCCTTCCCAGGAAGGTCCACCTTGGCTCCCCTCCGCTGGCCTTCTGTCCTTCAAAGGGCTTTCCGGGGCCTTCAAGCAGTTCCTTGCATTACTCATTCTCATCACATCTCTGGATTACAAGCATGCTAATATTGCTACCTTCCAGAGAATAGCTAGAAGAGATAAGAATGCCTTCTTAAATGAACAGTGCAAAGAAACAGAAGAAAACAATAGAACAGGGAGGACCAGAGATCTCTTCAAGAAACTTGGAGAAATGAAGGGAACGTTTCATACAAAGATGGGCATGATAAAGGACCAAAATGGCAGGGACCTAACAGAGGCAGAAGAGATTAAGAAGAGGTGGCAAGATTACACAGAGGAACTATACAAGAAAGAGCTTAACATCCCTGATAACCACGATGGGGTGGTCACTGACCTCGAGCCAGACATCCTGGAATGTGAAGTCAAATGGGCCTTGGGAAGTCTGAGCAACAACAAAGCTAGTGGAGGTGACAGCATTCCAGCTGAGCTATTCAAAATCCTAAAAGATGATGCAGTAAAAGTGCTACACTCAATATGCCAGCAAATCTGGAAAACTCAGCAGTGGCCACAGGATTGGAAAAGGTCAGTTTACATTCCGATCCCAAAGAAGGGCAATGCCAAAGGATGTTCAAACTACCGCACCATTGCACTCATTTCACATGCTAGCAAAGTTATGTTCAAAATCCTGCAAGCTAGGCCCCAGCGGTATGTGGACCGAGAACTACCAGAAGTACAGGCAGGATTTCGAAGAGGGAGAGGAACTAGACAGCAAATTGCCAACATACGTTGGATCATGGGGAAAGCTAGGGAGTTCCAGAAAAACATCTACTTCTGCTTCATCGACTATGCTAAAGCCTTTGATTGTGTGGATCACAACAAATTGTGGCAAGTTATTAAAGAGATGGGAGTACCTGATCATCTTATTTGTCTCTTGAGAAACCTATGTGCAGGTCAAGAAGCAACAGTGAGAACTGGGCACGGAACCACTGATTGGTTCAAAATTGAGAAAGGAGTTCGGCAAGGCTGTATACTGCCGCTCTTCCTATTTAACTTATATGCAGAGCACCTCATGAGAAAGGCGGGGCTAGATGAATCCCCAGTTGGAATTTAGATTGCCGGGAGAAATATCAACAACCTCAGATATGCAAGTGATACCACTCTCATGGCAGAAAGGGAAGAGGAACTAAAGAGCCTCTTGATGTGGGTGAAAGAGTTGACTTGAAACTCAACATCAAGAAAACTAAGATCATGGCATCCAGTCCTATCACTTCATGGCAGATAGATGGAGAAGAAATGGAGGTAGTGACAGATTTTATTTTCCTGGGCTCCAAGATCACCGCAGATGGGGACTGCAGCCAAGAAATTAAAAGACGCTTGCTCCTGGGGAGGAAAGCTATGGCAAATCTAGGCAGCAGACTAAAAAGCAGAGGCATCACCCTGCCAACAAAAGTGTGTATAGTCAAGGCGCTGGTTTTCCCAGTTGCAATGTATGGCTGTGAAAGCGGGACCATAAGGAAGGCTGAGCGCAAAAGGATTGAGGCCTTTGAATTGTGGTGCTGGAGGAGACTCCTGCGAGTCCCTTGGACCACAAGGCGATCGAACCGGTCAGCCCTAGAGGAGATCAACCCTGACTGCTCCTTAGAAGGCCAGTTGCTGAAGATGAAGCTCACACACTTTGGCCACCCGATGAGAAGGAAGGACTCCCTGGAGAAGAGCCTGATGCTGGGAAGGATTGAGGGCAAAAGGAGGAGGGGACGGCAGAGGATGAGGTGGCTGGATGGGGTCACTGGGGCGGTGGGTGTGGGCTTGGGTGGACTCCGGGGATGGTGGAGGACAGGAGGGCCTGGAGGAACGTTGCCCATGGGGTCGCGATGGGCCGGGCACGACTTCGCGACTCACAACAGCAACACCATTGCTGCCACGAGAGCTGCCACGCTCTTGTGCGGCTCTTCCCCACCCGCCATCCTAAAAGCTGGGACAGAATTACCCGTTGGCAGCAAGCGCCTCCTGCTAAAGATGAAGCTGTGGGGGGAGGGTTGGCCGGGCCCCCCTGCCCCCCGCTGCCCGGCGGCGGCACGGGGCCCCAGGAGCCCCTCCGAGGTGCAACCCAGCCCTTGGGCGGGGGCTGTTTGGCAGCCTGGCCTGAGACAAAGACCGGGGGCCACGTTGGGCGCAGAGGCCTCCGTTCCAGTCGCTCTTTCCAGCCATGCCTGCTGTTCCGACAATCGGGAAATGTTGATAGAAGCCGTTTGCTGAATGGAACTTTACTATGATGCATAGTACGCTAGCCACAATTCCCATTCTATTTTTACTAATTGAAATCTTTTTATACTGGGGATTCTGAACATTTGCTTATCTTTATATTATTTTCTAGGATTGCCTAAGCTATAAGGCATGTAGTCACCTCTATCGGTTTGGTGTCGGCTAGCAAATGAGTTGCTTTTAAAACCACAACCCAGAAATGGTTCTAATTATGGATAATAGCATAATCTGTCAGGATCTGGAAATTGCAAAACTCGTTCTGGGCTGTCCATGTATGGTTGGCATTTCTCTCCAGAGCAGGTGTGTCACAGATACCACAGACCCCATGGTCCACGGCTAGATCTGTTCAGGGGCCCTTCTGAGGTGGGATTAATAGGATACCTCTGAAAATCTGCAGGGCACATCATTCTTCTTGGAGCAGAACATTCAAAAAGAGTATGTGCAGATAGATTCTAAGCATGTGCAGAGTATAGTTCCCTTTTTAAAAGCATCACCTTGTTTTGTTTTACAGGATTCTACACAAGGAGGGGTTGAACAAATAGATACTGGCCGGGCACACCCTTCCACTTTAAAAATGACACCCCACATCTCAAGAGCTGGGTTCCCCCAACTTTATTAGTTGGCCACCTCTGCCTCCCACACTTGCCCAGTTAGAAGCCCAATTCCCATCTCGGAAAGGGCCACCCGCACCTCCGCCTGGCTCCGATCGGACCGGTCCTGACAGGCCGGGGGCTGAGAAGGCACGCTCGGCCTGCCCAGCGGCTTATTCCCGCCAGCCTTCGCCCACCACCCCTTTGTCAGGACCCCCCCGGGAGAATTAAGACTCCCCGGCAATTAAGAAAGCACAGGGGTTAATGAAGCGCTGGCAAAGCCCTTCCAGGGACTTGGCTGGAGAGGCCACCGAGGGTACTTTTCCCGGCTACCTCTGATTCCGCCATCTGTCGCCAGGAAGCATCCGGACCTTTGAAGGGCAGCTGCAGCTGGGAGAGCGTGTGCCAAGACGAGGGAGGCTTTGCAAGAGGACATGAAACGAGGTGCAGCAACCGCAGGAGAGCCAGGGCAGGCGCCCCCCCCCCCCGCCTCTTCTCATGCCCATTGTGGCTCTTATCTGCGAAGCCAGTGGGAAGCAGCTTGGCCTCTATTAAGCTTCTATTCAAATGGCTTCAGGATGCTGAAAAGGAGGGGATCCAGCGGAAGGATGAGTCATCTCCTGTCTCCCAGCCAGGCCTCTCTCCAGAGATGCTTGCAAAGCGCAAGCAGAGCGTGAGGGAGACGGCACAGGGCGGCACAGCCGGGCCCATGCTCCTGCGGCTCTCCGGCGTGCGCCCGGAAGCTTCTGCTCGGTGCCAGCCGCTGTGGCGCATGGTTGCAGAGCGGGCCGGCTGGCAGGGGAACCCTGGCCGTGGCAAGAGGGAAATGGCACCAGCCAAGCGGGGGCTTCGGCTCCCGTTACTGTTGCCACCGTTCTAAAAAGGAGCTGTTGAGTGTTGGGAAAATTTGGATAAATCCTGTCAGAAAAACATTACTTCTGTGTGCTTTTCGCATTGTGGGATCAAACCCTGTACTTCTCAAACCAAGCTAAGTCACTCTTTCAAATGGCCTTCCTCCCCCGCTCCTTTCTCTCACCTTTAGCTGTAAGCTACAGTACACAGGCCATTTAGTCCAAATGTACATTGTATACCTTCACAATGATTAAATAGTCGTTGTTGGAATTCAGTTTACAAGGAAGTATCTTCCTAGCCCAGGGCTTCATGTGCCCTGGTCATTCAGAACGTTTAGTCTAGATAAGAGTCTGAGCTTATCATGAATAGTTTCTCAGTATCTTGAATTTGCATGTCTGAGCAGACCTGGAGATGGGTTCAAGCTACTGAACTAAAGTGTCAATACAGGCAATTAGAAATATTGTGATCTCATTGTTATTGTATGATTGACTGACATTCCTTTATCTGTTCTGTATGTGATGACCTCCGATTGCTCTATACCTGTATGTGACTGGGACTGTATAAAAACTCGTTAGTTGTATTGAAGCTTTGCAGCGGAGTTCACCTCTGCCTGCCCGGTAATGCATGCATTATCATGAGGACCGCGGGAACCTGGGATAATACAATAAAGCCTCAGATGGTCTGGACGCTTGATCTTTCCCACGAACCCGAGTTTCATTCCCTCGTCTCGAATTGAGATTCTGGGATTCTGACATTGAGCAACTCTGACCAGTGGGACCGAGACCACGTGATGGACTCTGGAAACTGGCTCTTTGCTACAACCGGGCTTTCGGGAAGCAAAGCCATGAGCTTTCTGATTTCACACTGTGCAAACCAACATTCTGAAATTCGGACTTCTTTGAATTTTGCAATGGAGTTCTCAGATTTTAAACATTCAGACATAATGTGTGCAGCAGAGGACAGAACACCCAAAAATGCATTATGTTAGGCGCCGTCTTGAAAGAGATCAAGAGGGTGACTACGTGGAGGAGGGCCTTCTCCGTGGTGGCACCCCGACTGTGGAACACAATCCCGCTCCCAGTGAAATGGGTGGAGAGGCTCAGAGAGCACCTGGCTCTCCCCATGGCCCGCCGTGAGGATCCCTGAGGTCCAGCGCTGGCCAGTGGTCTGCTCTCCACGGGCCGGATGGGCTCGGCCAGCCTCCGCCAACTTGCCCCCCCCCCCCCACGGCTGAGTTTGCCTGCAGCCACAGCAAAATGCCAGGGCCTTTTTATCCACGGCCTCCCTGGAAGGGAGCCAACTATTTGACCCCTCTGGGCAGAACCTTACAAAAGGGGGACCCCGGAAGGGAAGGGTGCCCCCCCACACGCCTTACCCCATCTCTGTCTCTGCCCCAGGGGTGCAGGCAGGCCATCAGGGAGCACCGCAGCGAGGCACAGCTGAAACAGTGCAGGAGGCCCGAGCGGGGCCGAGCCCTCCCACTCCTTCCCCAGCATGGCCAGCAGCCCCGCGGCCAGCCTGGCCGGCCCTGGGGCCTGGGGACCTGCCTCGGCAAGGTCACGGCAGCAGAAGCAGCCATCCTCCAGAGGGGAGGAAGGGGACTGCACGCCGGCCACGCTCCAGGGCCTCCTTCCCTGCCAGCCCCTGCGGCGGGAGCCTGGGCCCGAGGGACTCGCACCTGCCCTTCCTGCAGCTGGGGGTGCTGGGGCCTCCCGTGGACACGCACGCCTGCTAGGAAGAGCCGGGCCAGGCCCACTTCCACCTCTCACTCAACCTTCTCCTGGCACTTGTCAGATGAAAACAGGCGCCTTCGTCCATCTGCCATCCGCAGACAGCGGCTCACGGCAGAGGGCGGCAGAGGTGACGCGTGACGGAGCTGCCGTCCTCGCCGATCCGTCCCAGGCCCCTTGGCCGCAAAAGGCAGAGCGGGTGCTGCGGAGCGGCCTCCACGGGGCTGCTCCCCCCTTCCCCGAGCGGCAGGACGCTGCAGGGGCAGGCACCCCGGGCGGGCCCCTGCGGCCTCTGGACGGCCACTGGTTTGGAGGGACACGCCGAGAACCGAGAGCGGGGAGACGCAGCTGTCTGGACCGCTCTGCAAGCAGCGCCCGTTTGTGCCCAAAAGCCAGCGGCGTCCCCTGCAGCTGCCCAGCCTCTCCCGCCTAGCGGGGCGCAGCCTCGGCCCTTTGGGGGCCACCTTGCGCTGCCCAGCGCTCTCCCCAGCGAGGAGCCCCTGGACGGCGACGCGCACGGAAGCAAAACCTTCTGGCCGAGAGGAGCAGCTGCGCGACCTTGGCCGGCGGCTTCTCCAATGCTTCCTGACCTTCCCTCACCGCCAGGACGAGCCCCGCCGGACCGAAGCTCTGCACCTTGCGCGTCACGCCAGCCGCGCTGCCGGATGGAGGAGCGCCTGGCCGCCACGGCTTCTGCTTGGCTGCGCCTCTCGGCAACGGGCAGCGGCCCCAGGACCGCCGCAGTGGCAGGCGCAGCCGAGGGGCAGAGCTGGATGGGGCCAGGACGTCACCGGTCCAAGTGATCTCCCCCAGAGCCCCTCACCGGCCTGATCGGCCCTCCTGAACCTGGTGCCCTTCGGTCTGCCTGACCATTGCCCACACTGGCAGGGACCCATGGGGACTGTAGTCAGAAAGACCTGGAATGCGGGTGTGGATGCTCTCAAAACGGCTTAGACGAGCCCCCGACGTGGGCCAAAGAGCAGGACACGTCCGGGTCCACCCACGGCTCACGGGTTTGAAGCTGCAGCCTGAGCAAACCGCAGTGGCCTTGAGCACCGCCTTCCAGCGGAAAGGCAGGACGCAAAGCCAGCGGGCGCAGAGGGGGAGGTGGTACCCCGTGCGCTCACTCCACCTGCACCGCATCAAGACGCCGCCGCTCATGCAGAGGCGTGGCGATTGGGGGGGGGCTTGTTTTGGTGGGCCTCCCTTCATTCGCGCAGAGGCGACTTGGGGGCCCGGCTCCGCAGGGAGGCGCTGCCCAGCCGCCGCCCAGCTCGGCACGCAGCCCCCGGGGCGGAGGCAAGGACCACCCCTCGCCCAGGAGCGTGTCTCTTATGGCCGCCACATCGGTGGGGCCGGATCCCCTGGCTGCAACTTTGCGCTGGGTCAGGAGCAGCACTGGGACCAGAGGCCTCTGGGAACAGGCCCAAAACGTAACCACCACCGTCATCGTAGTCATCATCACGTACAAATTTGCATATGCTAATACTCTAACGATCCTCCTGCCTCTCTCTTTCTCTGGGTATGTCTTCGTAGGACTCTGTCATGGTAGCTCATCCCTATTTGCAAAAAGGGATGCATGGATGGGGGGCGGGCACTGGATTTCTGGAGCAGACATCAGGTGGAAAGATGGGGGGGGCGCAAGAGGCGCAGTGCACATGGGAAAAGGCCCTCTTGCCCGGGGGATCCAATGCTGCTGAGGCTCTCAGTCCCCGCTCCCCAGCCCTTTATTTGAGCAGGTGCCCCTGGATAGCCCAGTGGTGGGACGAATGCCCCCCCAGAGATTTGGGGCTGCAGATGCAATATGTGGGGCTCCGCCCAAATGCACAACTCCATGAACTAAAGTGTGTCCCCACCACACCGGGGCCGGCCAGGCAGAGGGCCAGTGGGTCTGGTGGCCCCAGCGCCGGCAGGGAGGCATGTCCACCTGGTTTCGGACTGAACCTTAAAGGAGCGGTGCATGGCGCTGGACCTGTCTGTGAAATCAGGGTCAGCCCCACAGATGGCCCTTGAAAGCTTCGGACGGAAGCCCAGGGTGGAGACACTGACCGTGGGAGCAGCAGCCCCTGCCACTGGCAGCCCCCGGCCCCCACTGGCTCCCCGTCTGGGGGGAAGAAGCCCCACGCTGGGCATGACCGAGGAAGCGAAGGCAGGGAGGGGGACGGCCCCCAGGAGCCCCCACTGGCACGGCCAGTGGCCAGGAGCAGTTAAATCGACCTGCCAAGCACACGGGCATCCACACGGCTGCATTGGCTACCGAGCAGGAGAGAAGTAGAGCTCGCATCCCGCCCACCTGGAACCAAGCGGGAGAAGGCCGGGCGGCAGGCATCAGCAAGAAGGCGGGCCCAAAAGAGGAGGCCGGGCTGAGGAAAAGGCGGGAGGCAAAGCACGTGCTTGCCGGATGGGGCCCCGAAGAACGGGCAGGGTGGGCACTAGGATCGGCGCCCCACGCCGTGAGGGCGCCTGGTGGGGAGGCTCCCCTCCTGGGGGTCCGGGCCCGGCCCAGCTCCGAAAAGCAAAGCTGCTTCCTGAGAAGCAGGGGCCGTGGGCCAGCCTTCAAACGCCCCGTCGGTGTGCGTGTGCGTGCGCACGCGCATGAGGGAAGCGGGGGCCGGGCCGAGCGGCAGGGCAGTCCTGGCCGCCGATCCACAGCAGCCCCGTCGGGCCCGTTTGCCAGCAACCGAGGGGGGCACCGATCAACCCGCCGGGCCCCTGGAGCTGGGAAGGTGCGTCCCACGTCGTCTGCGGAGCAGTGGTTAAGATCCGCCTCAACCGGGCCTGCCTGCCTCCATTTGCCAGGCGGCGGCTCCTC